TACTTTTATAAGTAATAGATTTTTTAAAAAAAATTAAATTATTAATCAAGCACAGTAAATAGAGATACTTTTAATCCACATCTCGTCCCTCCAGCAACTGCCTCTCGAAAATCCCCAAATCGCAGTGACGGGGGAGGGTGGCCTAGACCTCGACCGCGACCCCAACTCCAACTCCAATCCACTGTCGTTCTTACAAAAAATTAATACATCAACATAAATAGTAAATACATGTTTCAAAATATTTAATAAAACTAATTGAGAATTCGTTAAATATTTTATGATAATTGATACATTTTTTTTGGTTTTTTTTTTGAAGTCTTGATCATATTATTCTGAGATTAGAAATTGAAGTAATATTATCGTAATGTTACAGAATAAAAAGAAAAAAAGGTGGCGTAAAAGGCTTAAATAGTAAATTTCTTCTTAGTTCCTTTTTCTAGTAAATATTTTCGAGCAATTTTTCAAATTGGGAATAAGTACAAAAGATAATCCTTACCAAGCTCCCAACCACAGACGATGTATTTTTTTTTCACCGTGGAACGAATAAAAGATTCTGCTTTCGATGAATTCCACGCTCCGACTGCAGAACCATTATGCAATATCGATTCGACATAAAGGGCGGCATTCAGTCCGAAAACAACTGAAGCCCTGAATCGAATTCCCACATAGTGATCATAAGTTTCACATCGAGCATGACGATTTAAATTAAAACCCAAAGTTGCTCATTGCACAGATTGATTAATGAAGGAATTCAGTTCATCCCATCTAGCCAAAGATTGGCATCCCACGGTTTAACCAAACGATTCAGAAGAGTTTTGAGCAAAGGCTTGCAGGGGAATGTGGATTATCTTTAGTTCGTTGTAGGACCCTGTCTTCCAAAGTGCAATCCCATCTAATCACTAATGGAGAAGAAGCCACACGATCATTGGAAAAAAGCAACTTATTTCCAACACGATTTTGAATAATAGTATAAAAATGTGAAAAATACTTATTTCGTAGTGATAGACGCGGAGAATCCATTAGTGAACGAGGATCTTGTTCTTAAGATTCTGCACGCGGTAAAGATCAAACAAATGTCATAACACGAACTTATTTATATTCTCGACATCGTATAACATTCAAACAATATCCAGCAACACAGTACTTTGGTGGCAGCATTTAAATGCTATTAATAAAGGCAAGGAACGTTTGCCTAAATACTAATTCATATGGTCGGCAGTAGGACACGAATGGGGAGAATTTGCTCAAGATTTTAAAATGCTTACGACATGTAAAAAGCGATAATAGATCTCTTCGTAGATATTAATAAATCCAAATAGATATATACTTATGGTTTATTGATTGGAGGCTACCCTACGCTAAAGAAGGGGGAAGCAAAAGTAAAAAGAAGCATGTTGGGAAAACTTAAAAAATTACTTTCCCAAAAATAAGTGTAATTAACAGAAATGTAAAATTTATAATTATTTCAGAATAAAAATAAACGTAACTTTTCTTTCTATTTAAGCTTAACATAACATCTTAAGATTTCATTTCTCTAGAATTGCGAATTTTCATGGCAAACGGCTCAAAAAAAAAAAATTTGTTCATTCAATTGCGTGCTGGAGGCGTTGGGACCGTAATGCAGTTGCTCAAAGCGACAGGCAATGGAACCCAAGATAAAGGAAACCCTACTGGCAAGCATCTTTGAGTTATGTGATCGACAGCTTGACAGCACGAAGTACTAAGGGGAAGTTCGAACGCTAATTTCAAAATATCCGCTACGCAATCTTCGAAACCTTTTAGAGCTTCCAAGCACGGCAAAAACTCATCAACCAGCGCTGGCTGTGATGCTTCATAGGCGACATGTGATGCTTTTGAAATTGATTCCGCCATGGAGGACATCGCGATGCATGCCAGCATTAACAGTGCAAAAGCTCTCTTCACCGCCGATGATTTATATGCCATAGTATTAATATATTTGCGAACTTTTTCAAAGGTCTACTAGAAGAATTACGGTGAAGTGGATTTGTGGGGATATACTACTAAACTTTGGATATTTATATTTGAGAGCATATTAATTAATTAATTAAACGAGTTAATTGTTTAACGTAAAGTGCGTTTCACATCTCCTTTATTTTGCTAGTATATGCTACTATGATATGATCATTTATTAGCAGAATTTAGCTAGAGATGAGAAATAATTAATGCTAACGTTACATTATTCATTTTTTATAGGCGGAAAATTTATTGTGAACAGTCGTTTCGAACTATTATGAATGGAATTGTAACTGAGTCATAGATATATATCCTTAAAAAAACTATGGTATATTTGGGAGTTGATTATAATGGAATGAAATTATAGAGTAAACGATAAAAACCTTCCTTGGAGTTTATGATAATTTCAAAGGCATTCCCTCTTTCCAAAAATTATAGAAATCCCCCATGAGATTCACGTTTCATAACAAATTTCTCCCTACCAGCAAAAAATAAATATATATTCCCCATTCTCCCCTCGAAGTTCAATGACTAACGTGGAAAGTTTTGAAATTCAATGACCTCCGGGAAACCTTACGCAAAGTAATTATCCCTTCTTTCTTATTATTTCTTAGGATATATTTTTATACTTTTGGTTCTAATGATATTATTTTAAATAAAAAATACAACTGTATATTTTATATAATATTTTTAAAATTGTAATACATATTTTTTTTTGACAAATACTGTTGACCTTTTATTTTACTTTATACTTTTATAAGTAATAGATTTTTTTTTTTTTTTTAAAATGGAATTATTAATTAAGCACAGTGCATAGAGATACTTTTAATCCACGTCTCGCCCCTCCAACAACTGCCTCTCGAAAATCCCCAAATCGCAGTGACGGGGGAGGGTGGCCTAGACCTCGACCGCGACCCCAACTCCAATCCACTCTCGTTCTTACAAAAAATTAATACATCA